GGGCCCCGGACTAAAGGTGAGCGCTGGCGGTTACATTGGGCAACTCGTGAAGAATATCCTCCTCACATGTGGTCGCCCGTACCTTCTTGGAAACTTTGTACTGCTACAGCATTGAGTGCCACCACATGAAATCGAAGGGCGTTGGAGAAACTCTGCCTACTTGTAATGGAAGGGCGTTGAGTACCTGAAGAAGGTGGAATATCTAAGCAGGTAACCTGACCTAAACCCCTCAATTGGCTCGGGCGGAGTTCAATAGGGTGGTCTACAGTGGCGGAGAAATCAACGATCTCGCTGAACTCACGCACCCACTGACGGTCGCGTGGCAGAATCTCTCGATGGCGCTCCTCCAGAAGGCTGTGGCGGAGTATCATGATAGTATTTGATATGCTCTTTAATATGGTGGTAGAAATGTCCGATAAGAATTTGATAAAGTGTAACTTATAGCGCCTCGAAAGTCGAGGAAGAAAAAAGTCTTTTTTTTGCCCCCCCCCCTGTATATCACGAGGGGAGCTTATAACTTTGTAGAACTTGAGGTCATCAGCATATTGTTTGGACACAACTTCATCCCGTAGACAGAAAGAACTCAAGTCAGCCGTATAAATGTTGAAAAGTATAGGGGAAAGGACCCCACCTTGAGGAATCCCACTCTGGAAAGAAAAAATATCTGAGTACGAAGCATTAACGCGTACTTGATAAGTCCTACCCGTGAGAAAAGCTTTTATCCATTCATAAACATTATCATGAAACCCTAGCTTACTAATTTTAAATAGTAATTTCGAGTGGCTGACCTTGTCAAAAGCTTTGGTGAAGTCAAAAATATAACATCTATACTTTGCTTGTTGTCCAAGGCTACAGTCCAGTCGTTGAGCGTTTCCAAAAGATTTGTACTAGTTGACCTCCCCACAACAAAGCCATGCTGAGAAACAGGAATTATTTCATTCTCAGCAAGATGATGAAGGATGTGTGTTTTCAGCAACTTTTCAAAGAGCCTACAGAAGAAAGAAGTGATACTTATTGGCCTATAGTTAGAAATATCCGATGATGGCGCCTTCTTCAAGGACTGGGGTGATATAGGAATGTTTCCATAATCGTGGCACTTGCGAGTACATTATGGATTGATTATATAAATATGAAAGTGGAAACGCGATGGCCTGAGCAACGTTTTAATGAATTGGAAAGGAATTCTGTCAGGAGTTGTAACGTACGAGCATGGCCATTTTATGAGAAGACTGTACACATCCCTTGGATCAAAGTACGGAAAGGACTGCATTTTACAAGAGACAGTGGGCGAAAATGAGGGTAAATCGTTCATTGTCTTGTTGAAATGCTTTACTGAACTCAAGAGCAAACGCATTGGCCTTATCGAAGTCGTTTAGAAGTAATCTGCCTTCATACCTCAAATCCGTAAACTGAGATTTCTCGCGCAGCCTAGATCTCATGAATCTGAAAAAACGCTGCTTGTCCTTAGCTTCAACAATTTTCTTTTCTACATTTCTGTTGAATTTCATAAGTCTTTTGGTGAAAAGCTGAGGAGAATCTGTTGTACTCAACCCAGTCGCCGGTCAGTTTGGCATATTGAAACAGGCATTCTTTATGTTCAGACATGTTGCGTAAATATTCCGGTAGGTTGCGCTTATTCGGATAGACGAGAGCCCAGGGACGAACTGATCAATAGTGTGATTGAGTATAGAAAGGAACATTGAATACTTATCATCAACCGTGGATAGGGTTTCAAAGGATTCAACCCATAGGATACTAGAAAGATAACTGAGGACGCGGGAATAGTCGCATTTATGAAACAGTCTCTTGAAAACTGGCAAGCAAGGAGGAAGAGAGGCAGTAATATCAAAAGAAATGCTGGAGTGATCACTGTGCCCAAGAGCAGAATTAATTGCGATATTGTTAATAAGGTGCTGATCATTCGTAAGCACTAAGTCTAATATGTTTTCACCCCTTGTGGGCTCCTTTGACAAACTGTGAGAAACCGTGATATGCAAAAGTTTCCGTGAGAGGGTGCGAATTTTCACTATTGGGATTCCATTGTGCCCAATCAATTTCTGGCATGTTGAAATCACCAATTACAATAACAGGGCATGAAGCAACGGATAGATCACTGATTGCTTTAGCTAATTGTTCTGTAATGTGCAATGGTGTCGATGGTGGCCTGTATACTAAAACGATTCTGACACGATGTTCAGGGCAGCAAAATCCAACGCTACTATTTTGCACCAAGGACTGGATAAGGTAGTGGTATAATTAACCGTTTTTCTGATCATCATAGCAACCCCTCCACCAGTTCTGCGCGCCCTATCACAACGTACAATAGAGTAATCACTAACCCAATCGCTAAGCATCGACGGGACAAAATGGGCTTTTTTAACCAAGTCTCAGTGAATAGATAAAGATCGAACCTATCACGGATGGCAAGGTCAAGAAATGAACAATTCTTCGGAAATGATCTAATGTTCGAATAGAATACTGAAAAGTTCAACGAATATGCACAACCATTATCATAATGAACATCAACAACATGCCGGGGAAAGGAAATCAGTTTCCCTGTGAAGCGAGAATGGAATGTGAAAAAGCATCTGAAGTGTGAACACCAAGTGCTTGATGATTGACTTTTGATATTGAAGACGTTCTTCTCGACGTCTTTTTCTCTCGGCTTCGCTGAGGGACTCCCTAAGGAATACCCCTTTTTCCGAGAAAAAACGAAGTCGAGGAGCACGCCGCACGGCTATGCGTTGGTAATATGAAGAAGGCATATGACCTTAAGCAGTCTATTTTTCCCCTTAATGGGACTTCCTAATCTATACACAGCTAGTGGAAAACAACCTACATCAAGGTAACAGTCGAGAACACTGTGATAATTCATAGTTCAATTTCCTAAAAAGGTCGCAGTTTTTCAACTCAGGAATACCAGCTATTATGAGTGACCTTTTACGTTCTAGTTCGATATAATCAATATTGACAGCCGACGGCGGTGAAGGGTCAACATGCTCAGTATCAATGTCCGTACAATCCAAGTAAGTGCCAGGAAGAATCCCTAATTTCTTAAGTAAAGCATTCTCAACACGAAGCTGGTCACGTTCATTTTTAACATCATTCAATTCCTTCATCAGAGAGTTAAGTGCGGACTTGACGCAGTCCGGGACCAACTGCGAGGAATTGACCTCCCTCATGGCGCTCTCTAGTGTTGACGAGGTGGGAGCTGGTGACAGTGGCGAAGTGGACGGGCACGATCTTTTGGTACCTTTGAATGAAGCGCGTGTGGTGTCCATAATTAAAAAGCCAGGAAAAATATATTGAATCAATACACCTTAAGGTGCGAACCGAAGAAGAGGAAAACTGATCACGGTTCGTTCGTTACCTACGCAAATCAGCCATCGATCCTCCACTGTAAGTGAATCCGATGTCAAAAAAAGAAACAGTGAATAGTAGAAGTAATCTCTTGCACTGAATGCACAAGAGAAGAGGGCAAGAGGCCGCTGGGAGTAGTGATCCAATAGAACCAGTAGAATGTGCGACTATCAGTGAAATTCGAATATCAGTAGAATTGGTGCAAGAGCAACCACAAAACCGACCGCTCAGCGCTGGTGCATGCGAAAGACGGTCCAGATTACTTGCTCACTTATCCAGCGACTACCCAGAGGTATGCCATGTATGAAAAGAGACGTCAACACCAATTTAGCGTTACAGTTGGCCGGAGGCCCGTTGTGTCACCGGTACGCCATCACTGTTACAAAGATGTGTGACTACGTTCACACTGCCTACCAATGGATCATCTACGGCGCAAAGAAGTCATGAAAGTTTTCGCTCAAAACCTGTCTCTAGAGTTAAGCTGTGGTCCTGATCACAATTCTGACACTTATCACAAGAATGCTGAGTTATGGGCAAAAGTCGGACCACGGGCGGGATTCGAACCCGCATCTTCTGCTTACCGGGCAGTTGCGTTCCCTTACGCTACCGAGGCCACTTTTGACCACTCAGCTCAATGGCTATTTGTGCCATAGCCTTACAGCACTCACACGTTCAACGTGATGAGCCGGTTAGCCGATATCGGCAGTGAACTGCAAGGCTGAGTTATGGGCAAGCGCTAAAGCCTTCTGCTGAATGTACTTCCCGTATAAGGAAAAGACTGCTTGGTATCTATTCAAAAAGTCGACTTGTTGTCAATGTGTGAGATTCATCGCGGCTCCATGAAAATCGGTGTGAAAGGGCAAAGTGTGCGATTCGCGCATTTATAATCCATTCTCGAGGCATGATACACGACGGCATGCTCACGGGAAATCGCCCAAAATTCGAGTCTCCATTTTGCACAGAAATGTGGTGAATCGGTTCCAGAGAACAATAAGAAGGTAAACGTGACAGTATTCACGCTTCGTCTTGCATGAAAATGATTTTACCCAGAACATTACCCTTTTCCAATTGCGCCAGTGTCTTCATACTAAGGCTTGGTAACTCGTCCTTCTCCCAGACTATTTGATGTAGGTTGTTGCTGGTTTGCCATTACTATAGATGTTGTAACTGTAGTGCATGCGTAAGATACTGATTGTTTTTTTATCAATAAAGCTTGGAAGAAAAGAAGAGCTTCTCATCTCCATGAGGAAGACTAAATATCTGAAAATCAATAAATTTCCGGGGCTGTCAAGGGGTCCCCGGTAGGCGGGAAAGCTAGCCGATCAAGAGTGCACAAAAATCCTGGTAAGACGCTAAACCACTACTCGAGCGAACACTGAAAAAGGAGCTTGGGCTTTCAGAGTGCTCTTTGGATCTAACCAATGCTAATACCGTATATCTATACATCTACACGAAGGAGGCATAAAAAAGCAATCATTGAAAGTAATAAAACGCTGTCTGGGCAAAAATGAAATTCTGATTTTGGGAATATAGTTGATAGTCGACAATAAATCAAGATGTTCAGATCGTCATAAAGTTATCTTGTAGGGATATAAGAGCCGCGAAACGCCTGCCGTCCATTACAGGACAGCATTTCCATCATGAAACGTCTTCTTTTCGCTATCGTCGTCGTTGGACTTTCCGTCCTGGTGAGTTCTCCATTCTGATAGCGAAACGGTTTTCACGGGCTCATGTGAGGTCCGACGTCAACGGCGATGGTTGAACAAGGAAAAAATTGTCGCACACCTAACTACTGGAATTTTTCAAGGCCTGTCAACCGGTGAAAAAACCAACAGTAGTTGGAGGAGGAAATCAAACAGCCTCGGTAAAACTGATCACTGTCGCCGAATGGGATCCGAAGAAAGCCGAATTATACCTGAAGTTGTTCCCACTCTCGCACGTGAGTCGAGATATTCTGTCTTCTCCACCTAAGAGGGCATTCAAGTTATGAGAAGTAGCTTTAGATCAAGCCGTACTCCAAGGAGCTTGGAAAGTTCTCTGACTTGGGAGCAGCAGACGTCGGGGGCAAATTCGCTTACACTTTCACTCTTCATGACGCTGACTGCCATAAGGTAAACTTCATCGAGCAGACAACAACAAGGGCGGGGAATCTTCAGGAGCTGGAGTACATTTTCTTCACTACATGCTGTACAAGTACATTTGGAGTCAACAGGGGACGGACAAGACAATCGCAATTTGTCGCTCGTGGCACGCGAAAATTGAAACTTTTGAGTTCAATGCAAAGACGGGGCAACTCGTCCATCGCGCGCGACATCACTCGCCACGCCCACTAGCAAGGCATATTACGATTGTCTCGTCGCATATTCGGGGAAAAACTGAAGGGCAGTCCATTTTCGCTGCGCTTTTCTGGGAATGTCAGCAAGTGACGAGAAAAGTATCATAAGTTCATCACAACTGACCCCTCCCTGGGCTCTCTTCTGTTCTTGGAACAGAAAAAGCGGCTGTTGTTGGAAATGTTGCTGTTCGGAGAAAGGTTCCGGGTTACAGGACCACAAAAAAGAAACTTGCAGCGATGCAAAACTTCCCCATCAAGGGGATTCAAACCATCAGCCGGAACAGTTCGGCGACGAGGGGGAGCATTCTGATCTTTTGCTACTTCTGACCTATAAAACCATTCCGTGAGCTTGCGAGAACTGAAGGTTATACCGTGGTCGAGCTTGAACCGGTTAAGCGGAGGAATTTAAAATTGCCCCCCCCCCCGTCGCCGAAGTGCCCCCTGTCAGCTCATTGCTTGCGCTTTCTCTGACCCTCGCAGAAGCGCGCAGCGAAAATGAACTATACTTTTGCGATCCTCGCATGAACCTCTTCAGCATGAAACACATCGTTCTAAAGATTAACTTTCACGACTCGAGAGCCTCACCCTCCCCCCCCTTTGTAAGAGCTTACTTTGCAGTAGTCGTTTCCCTGCGGATGTCAACGATTTTTCAGGTTCAACTATGGATGAAAGAAATCTTGAACGGTACGCACGCCATCACGGCTGCCCCCGTAGAATGCACCCATTAGAGGGCATAATAACATCCGACAAAGAAGCAAATGGAATTTCAACCAACAAATAATAAAAGCATTGTAAAGTCCTTGTGCAACACGAATACTAAACAGAGTTGTTTACGTTGGAGGTCTTCAGAGAGAACAGGTATATTCAGCGGCCTAAGACAGCGTTCAGACTTTGCGATGACGCACGTCGACTCACTGTAGCGCGCCACAATTGCACAATGCTCGAATCCCATAGGCGCGGACGCAGCCGCAGACGGTGGTCGTTCTCTGAAGTGATCGTTTTTCTCAGGAGGCCTACAAGGGTCTTGGGGGCAGTTCGTTTACTGAGAGCACCAAACTGTACACAGCCAAGCCTGAACAGGGCATCACGTGAGACCGTCAAATTCTTGCAGTCAAAGAGGGTCACTTTTCCAGCTTTGCAAGAATTTACAGGCAAAAAAGCGACCTGAATCAAACGTGAATTTGCAAAAAGATCTAACGAAAGGTTATGTGCCCCTCCAAAGCCAAACAACGCCTGCGTCCAGAGGTCACTTTGATCACCCTTGATCCGACTTGTCCTGCGAACTCCGCCACTCGCGCAAGCCGACATTGAGCCAACCATGTGAGTGTCTTTTCCACTGTAGGCCGGACATTTTCAGTAACTGGTCAGCCCACCTCATTTTCGGCCTTCCCTTGGGTCGTATCTGATTCACTCGGATCCAGCTTGCAAGCCGGGACCATTTATTGTCCTTCCATCTTGCAATATGACCGGCAAATTTTCATATCTTCTTGTAGATTTCTCGGACTACATCATTCATCCCACTTCGCCTTCGAAATGTGATTTCGAAATGACACTTACAAATTTTGCGCTCCATTGATCTTTGCCCTAGGCAAGCTTCTCTTCATCACCTTAATGGTCGACCAACATTCTGCCCCATACAACAGCGCGGGTACCACTGTTGACTGAAATAATGATTAGATGGTGAGCATCGAGCACCACTGTTAATTATCATCGAGCACCACTGTTTAGATTCTGTTAGAAG